TGAGCAAATTAAATCAAATTGAATTACATCTTATGGAATTAAATTACTTATAGGGTTTGGATTAATTCTGTGGTTCACTGACTCCAGTCCTGTTTTACTAGGTTCTCTCGACTCATTTATTTCATCTTTCTCTTTTTTATACCTTCTTTCCTTTATTCCTTTAATCTCACCTGTAGAATCACTTCTTAAATAATACATATAAACAGACACATCTGCACACATAGCTTTCCAAGATGTAGTTTCTGTTTTTAGATTTATATTTGTAATTTGTTTGCATTACCTGAGCTGCTGTGAAAGGAACAGAAGTACTTTTTCAAGTCAAGACAGTTCAAAAGTTTTTACTAAAATAAAATAAAATTGCAGTTCATATTTTAAATTTGTTGAAAATATAATCCATGCAAAACCATCTTTTCCAAACTAAGATATTAATCATATATTGCTAGAGTAGCAGAGGATCAAAGAAATCAAAGAATCTTTCACTGTTCAAGCCATTTCAAGTAGATTGGAAAAAGCCCCAGAGAGTACTAGACATGAACCTCCAACAAGTGGCATTTGAATGACTTAACAGAGAATTCCTTTGCATGTTCTGTGTGGGAAACTGTTCCAGAGCTGAAAGCCCAGATTATATTGTACATATGCTGCAAAATGTAAGAAGAAAACAGAAAACTATGAATAAGGCAGTTAGAATCCTTGCAGAAGCTGAATCATACGTAGAAAAGTAACCTTAATTTTTAAGTTTGCAATTTGTGTTTTAGAAAATATGTAAATATTACCTGGGATATATAACTCCCACTTCTTGCTTTAAACATTACATCTTATTGTTCCTGTCAAGCCCAATAATATTCTAATTTGTTCTGTTGTTTAGGTTGATTTGTTTCTTTTGTTTTAGTTCTGCTAAGGTTTCGTACCTTAACATAAGATTTGCTTTTCAAAGTTCTTAAAAATGACAGACTATTTTCCTCTTTCTTATTTTACAAAAGATGGCTGTAAAATCATCTGATGATGTCATCATTTCAGTGCCTCTTCCTCATTCCAAAATTCCATATGTCACTGCAGTTACAGTACAAGAAATATTTCTTTCTTATGAAAGTCAGTCAGGGTTCACTGATTTAGCCCTTTAGAGAGCACTCTGATTAACAATCTAGGTGTACGTTATAAACATACAAAAGCAAGGAGTAAAACCAAGACAAATTAAATAAATATATTTTTAGAATCTCTTACCTAAGAAAATCATGGTTTATTTTATTGAAATAAATAACACCTAACTATTAAAGTCTTAATTGTTCAAACCAGCATTAGCATTTTTTCAAAGTATGACTTTTCCATTTGTGTAAAACACTGTAGGTTTGTGACTTTTTTTGTTCTTCAAGTTTTCCATTGATAAGGTGTGCACTAAGTCTTACAACCTGCTTGTGATTAAATGTGATAAATAAACAAACAAAAAATATTTCCCTCATTTCTAGTCATACACTGCATGTCTGGACCTGAGCTGTTACACCCTGATTACTTCTGCTCTTAAGTGGGGAGCAGTCAATGAAGTTATTCCCAACCCAAAGGTCTTCTGCCCTGCTGTGCTCTTCCAGCTGGAAACCAGACACGACTACCATGCTCTCATGGGACACCAATACAAAGTGAGGCTGCACAGCCAACAGGAATTGCAGATTTACCTGGTAGGTTTCCCAGAATCACACTAAACCCATCCTCGGCTCATGAACCTTTGCTATGTTGGTAGTGATGACTCTGTGTGTTAGTTAGTTGTAATACTAATATATAATACCACCTGTGTGTTAGTTAGTTGTAATACTAATATATAATACCACCTCCACAATAAAATGTTCACCATTATCTTCAGACAAACTGTAGATTGAATTTTAGAAATGAGATTTTTCTTGGCAACACTTGCACAAATGAAAAAAAGATAAACTAAATAGCCCTACTAAGAAAAACAAAAACCCAGGCACTGAAGTCTAACTGGTTTTATTAGATCTTGAAGATAAGGATAAATTATTTCTTCATTTACTTCTTTTGGTATAAAATTGCAAGGTAGCTCCTAACATTTCCTAGACGTTCACCTCCTGGACTTGGAAAAAAAAGTGAAAATTTCAAAAATTGTGTACTTGGCTCATGTAAAAAATTGGATATAAACTTTAGAGAGGGTGAAAATTTTGTAAAGATTTTCTATGCTCCTCATTGAAAAGACTACATTAGTGGTTGTATCTTACATATAAAAACTTGTAACAGCTGTTATTAAATATTTTCATAAGACAATGATACTGGTATAATAAAGTAGAATATTAATTTAGTTGTCTTCTCTTTAATTCTGTTATCAACCTGTGAACAGTGGGGACAGGGAATCTTGGAATGATTACATATAAATTTTAATATGTTGAGTATTTTAGCAAAAAGATACAATTACTGTAATAATTTTCACACAGCCCTTTTTGAAAGAAAATAAAATGCCCATTTTCTATGGTGAATTGAATGGAACTTGCTTTGATTTTCATGTTATCTCTGCATATGGTAAGATTTGTAAGACTTGATGAAAATCCCAGAAAGAAAATGATTTGCAGTTTCTATTTGTATAGGACAGCAGACAAAAATCTTCAAACTCCATCAGGTGAACTGAAGAATAATTTGTCCTTTCTCTTGAGCCTACTAGAAAGCAATAGATCATAATCAAGATCACAACTTTTTCTTCCATGATTTTTTTACATCACACACAATGCAGTCACCTCCAAGAGAAATTTCATTAAAGCTTTGTATCAGTTATGATTTGTCATATAGGCAATACAGGCTTGATTCTTAATGTTGTCATCTCTGAAGCACTAACCGGACACACTGGCATGTGATTTGAGAATCAAAACAACAGAGCACAGCACTCCTCTCACTTTACTGCAGAGCTCAGTCCATCATTTAAACTGTGATCTTCTTCAACTCTGGTATTTAATTAATCTGCAAAGGCAATGGGTGTTTTATAGAAGTAAGAAGTCAGAAATAATATCTGTGGTTCCAAGAAGGATAGGGAAGAGGATGGGAAAATAGCTGACATATAACACATACATACTTACCCAACCAAACACACACAAATGCTTTTCCTTTATGCTTATTAAGAGCAAGCAGGAACATCTGATTTTTTTTGATTAGCTGATGAAACTGGATTAACACTCAGTAAAAATGTAATATTGTTTAAACCGGTCACTGATATTATTTTGTATTACACCAAAAAGGATCAAAGATTGTCACCGGTCCAGTTCCCTACTTGACAACAGCTGTACCTTTTTTTCTTATAGGTCTCCTATACATAACATTTAGGAGTTAATAAAAAACTACTTGTTTATAAAACCATGTTGACCGTAACTGTTTTCACAAGTATTGGTTACAGAGTAGCCAAAATCTTTTAGTATAAACTCAGTAATTAAAGATGGTCCAGATTTAGGCTTCCTGGACAGATTTTTTTTCAATTTTCATAAAAGTATTGGTCATGGACACAGTGTTACTAGCCATATGAACAAAGAACACATAGGAATGTGTAACTGCAGTGGTTTTGTATGGACTCTCTCCCAGTGCTTAAAAGAACTCACCAACGAAATGCTCTACTGCACTTTGTAGAAAGAGGCAGAGCTAGGAATCACAACTGCAACATTTTACATTCAGGTCCATCTTTGTCCTCTATTAAAATTCCCTTAGAGTAGATATTATTTTTCATGTAGTACATCAAAGGATAATGTCTTGCCAAATGTTTCTTGAAGATTATTATAGATCTTTGGGTTTCATTCTGTATTATACTTATCAGACTCCTTGCAGGGTGTGATTCATTGTCACCTATCTACACTTGCAACCTTGACAACTGGGCATCCAATGAGAGATGTTTAGCTCCACAAACTATCAGAATTCCATCTTAAATTTACATAATAGAAGTATACCATTCAGTAGAGTCTTCATCCTGCTATTCATCTAGTATGCTATTACATACTAGAAAGGCCCGAAGAGATTGTGACAAGAACAGTATTTACCTGGCATAGGACACTAAAACTTCTCAGTAAGGGTAGTTAAGAGAGAAAACACGTGAAAAGACATTCAGAGATGATATATAAGATTCTTTTTTCCTAATTTAAATAATCTTAAAATGTTTCTATTCAGTTCCCAATGCATAAAGTGCTTTAATTTGGCAGAACTTCTACTTGGAAGAACACAGCGTCCTGAAGCTGGTTTTCTTACACAGAGCCTTCCTTTCAGTTTTCAGCATGCACAGTATACACCATTCCTATACCAATAACCTAAATCCAGAGAATGTATATAAAAAGAAAGGCAAAGAGTGTACATCTCCTATTGGTAAAAATTAATTGATTTGAAATTAATGCAAACTGGTTACTCTATGGGGACTCTAATGTCATGCAAATGACAGTAACTTATAGGGTCCTCTGATTAGTCTTTGTTCTTTCTATTTTTCAAACCAGAATCCTCAGAGTTCTTCCTGTGACTTACTCCATTAACAGCATTTTGATTTGATTTTGCTCATAGAGATACAGCTCTGATTACTGGTATTATAGACAGCTAAACTTTTTTCATATTTGTGTTTAGGAGCCCCAGAACAACTGAACTGAAAACCACTAGCTATGATAGAAGGATTAAATTTCTTCTAGACAGTTAAAAAGTAGAACAAAATTTTCAGCTTTGTCTAATAAATTCATTGATAACTGAGACTCCATGCAATACTTTTCTGGCATTGTGAAATGCATCTTGTGGTGTAATACAAATAATTGCAAACACCATTACAAGGAATGATCTCAATCCTGCATTAGAAATCAAACAACCTTGTTTTGCCAGTATGCTGCTTACATAAACTAAAATGATAACTATGCTGTTCTTCAGTAATGATCCAAAATGGTTTAATTATTCTCTTTAAAGTGATTGTATTTTTGGACCATAACAGCAGATTATCATAAGAATTTTAACAAACTTGATGTTTAAAGCCACACTAAAAATGAGCTATATCCAAGTACAGAAAAAAATCAATATTTTATTTATAATCTTAGTTTAGTGTTTGAACTACAAACTCTGGTTCTAGAATTGCTTAAAAGATCATGGGTTTTATGGGTTTTCACAAGTAAATTAATTTTTTTGTTGTTTTTCTTTTGCATTCTTTTGTTTCTTTTTTTTCCATTTTTTTCACAGAATGGTGCTTTTACTAAATACAGAGCAAATAATCACATGGAAAAAAAAAAGGTTTGCTTGCTTGTGTTTTTTTCACTTGCAGAGTTACTGTTATTATTCCATTCTCTGATGAATAATTTCAAAGAGGGCATGAGAAAACAAAAGAAAAAAAAAGAGAAAGTGACAAAATAGACTGAATCTCACCACTAGAATTCACCATAAAAATTCCCAAAGTGTAACAGAATTCTTACAAAATTTCCTAGATCAGTTCTTTTAGGGAATCAAGATCTCCTATGAAAAATATGGCAAATGGGAGTCAGGGTAGGTTGGGCAGGAAAAGGGGTACGAGGAGGGTAAATAACTGCAGCAAAAACAGGTTCTGAGGAATACACATAATTTTGTCTGCTTTAGATCACAATAGAATTTTTAATAAATAAATTTCTTTTTCTTTGTAAAGACACTTTTGAAACAGTAGATTTAGCCCAGTCATTTGTGTCATTTGTTTTATAAACCATCTTTTGTTGTTCCCACCCCTCACCCCCCATAATGTCATAAATGTTTCAGATCTGAGTCTCTTGTACATTGTCTTTTGAGTTCATTCGGATCAATAACGGTTCATGCACTGAACTGTGTATTGAATTTATTGTGTTAACTGTTGTTGTGTGGTTGAAAGGAGATTTATAAGAGTTATAGTGATTTAGGTGCTCATGCTCTATTGCTGGCATGGGCAAATGACTCTCTATGGGTGTGTCACCTGTAAGCTCATCATCCACATTAATGATCTCTACAGTCCGTGTTGGAGCATGATGGTTCTGCCGGTGATGCTGTTTCCTCATTTTGTAGAAAATTACCAGCATCACAGCAGCCATGAGAGTGATAGCCACAAAACAACCAATTATGATTTTGGTAGTCTTCATAACCTCATCTATTCCCGGGATCCCATTGTTTGCGTCCGTCACAGGAATGGTGAAAGTTTTTTCTGTAGATCTTGTGCTCTGTGGAGTGAGTGAGGTTGTCATGTTAGTGGTTTCCCAGTTGGTAACTGGTGTGGGCCCAACCTGCTCTGTGGTCTGTGCCTCATCCTGAGAAGGTTCCACAGTCTCTACCGTGACAGTTGAAAAGTACGTGTAACCAGGGTTATCCAGGGCAGTCACATTCAGTGTGGCAGAAGCTGTGGTATTCCCAACAGAGTTACTCACCATGCATGTATACAAACCCGTGTCTTGCAGAGTTACCTTTGTAAAATTTAATGTGCCATCACTGAGCACAGCAATCCGAACTCTGTACGCCCCATGTGTCATAACAGATCCATTTGGAGTAATCCAAGATACAGAGGTCAGGGAGGTTGATGCCCGGCATTTCATCTCTGCAGCCATGCCTTCTGTGACGTTGAGGTCTGCTGGTGGCTCCACTATGACTGGAGCATAACACGTGAAGTAATTCAGGTCCAGCTCACCAATGTACCTTCCTTTTAAACTGGGAGGTGTGTGGCAACGGGCGCAGCATGCAGTATTGGAGGGTGCCTTGTCTTTAATCCACCAGCTGAGCCAAAGGATATCACAGTTGCAGTTCCAGGGATTGTGATGCAAGTGGATCCTTTCGAGGCGAAGTGGCGTGAACAGGTCATGAGGCAGTAGTGTTAGATTGTTGTGTGCCAGGTTGATCTCTACAAGTGACTGAAGGTTATCAAAAGCATTCCTTTCTATCACTTGAATTTGGGACTGTATCATCCACAATTTCTGAAGATGCATCAACCCTTGGAAAGAACCTGGCCGGATGGCAGTCAGGTGATTCCCAGAAAGATCTAACTCATCCAGTTTTACAAGCGGGGTAAGGTTAGGAATCTCTCGAAGATTGCACATGGCAAGGTTCAAATATCTCAAATTGGACAGACCTTCAAAGGCACCTTCTGAGATGTATGAAAGCCTTTTCAATTCCCCCAAATCCAACCTCCGGAGAGAAGGGATTCTGTTAAAAGCATAAGAAGGGATGCTCTCAATGGGGTTGTTTCTCAACCACAGTTCCTTCAATTTTGACAGGTATACAAAAGCCCCATTTGGGATAGTGGTCAGACGATTGTCAAAGAGTTCCAAAGTGTTGAGATTGGCCAGACCATTGAAAGCCCCTATTTCAATTGTTCTGATGTGATTCCTGCTGAGCTGCAGGATTTCTAGGTGTCTCAGATGCTTGAAGCTATTAACTTTAATGATTTGGATCTGGTTCTCATGGAGATTGAGTAACCGGGTGTTGGTGGAGATGCCGTCTGGCACGTCCCTCAGATTTTTCCGCACACAGATCACTTTACTGAACTGGTTGCTGCAGGAGCAGACAGAAGGGCAAGTTTGAGCCCTCACTAGACCAGCCACCACCAGAAGCTGAAGAGCCAACAGCACCACAAGCAGGGGGTCAAATAGGGCCCTGTTAAACCTAGGACCTATCATTATCTGCTGTGGATGTAAGGTCATCTTGTTCAACATTCATAATTTATTTGGTGTTGGTCCTTCTGGAGTTTGAATAGTCTGAAAGAAAGGAAGAAGGGAGAAGGAGAACATTAAATTAATCTCAAATACTTAAGTGTGTTCTCTAAACAAAGGCTTCTCGAGTCCTTAGAATTTCTAATATTTTTCTGTACATTTATGTATATCAACTGCAATTGTCAATAAGATAAGAAAATGCCAGAGACTAGCTTTTCCTGCACATTCCAATGTATAATGCACATAGCTGGATGGCGCATAAGAAGTTCAACCACAGTGGATACCTAAAGGAAGTATTGTAACTTGGGAGAGATGAAAGAAATTTCAAGGGTCTCAAAAGGCAAAAATTAGTAAGATAGGAATATAGTAAGATAGGAATCTTCAGAATATTCAAGGTGTTAACATTTTTTTACACATTATAAGGCAAGACTACATATAATATGAAGAGCAAGTAGAGACCTGCTTGGGTAAAAAATTTTGTCTATGCAAATATGATTCTGGAATCAGGGTTTAACTAAAAGTAAAGTCTCTAAGCCTGAATGTAGCAGGTCATGCAAATGACAGGGCAAGATCTTGTCTATTACAAGAGGAATGAAAAGAAACATGCTGAGCATCAGTTTTTCCCTACCGTTAAACAGCATCATCCAATTTCATGATATTTCCTCCTCAATTCTTTTGTTTGGCACCAGCAGCAGAGAAACACTCATTAGCAAATGTGTACTGAACACAAAAATAAGAATAGCCATTTAAATGCTGAAAAATATCTCTGTAGCTTAAGGATTCACAGTTTCACTGGCACCTTGAAAAAACTCTAAAAAAATTCTACAGATCTTACTGTGAGGGGAAAAAACACCTTTACACTGCAAATGATCATTACCATTTTAAGAACTTCAGTACTGATTCATTTGTGGCAGTTTTTAAAGTCCCCAGCCCTCAGTTCATTTTCAATCTGCTGCTCAGTTCAAGATCCCTCTGTTGTTGAGATTAATGACATTTCCTATAAATCAACCAAAAGTGAAGTCTTATAATTTACAGCAAGCTTAAAGCGTATTTATAACCTAGAGCAACCAGATGGATAATACATATATTCAGTAAAACAAAATACCATAAGGCAGTGGTTTTCCACTCCACGCTCCAAATTGTTTCATTTCATGTAAAAAAAAAAAAAAAGCAACCAAAAAAACCCCAGGAAAAATATATTAACTTTCATCTCACAGCAATTCATTTAATGAAAGTTTTTTTCTAATTATATATTCAGATAATGTGGTTTTGAGAATTAATTTCTGCATTTTTAAAAAACTTGTTAAAATGGTTCAGAGTTAAAAAGTGTTTTCATCTCAATTTTAATAATTTACTTCAGAGAAAGCCAATATAATGGTTAAGAACCAGTGAAGGGAACTGAGAAGTCTGGGCTTTTTCTGTTTGTTTGATATGCTCTGTATGTGCTATTTATAAAACGTAATTCTTGTAATGAAAGATTCATGAAACTAATGTGTTTTGCAACCTTGAGCAAGTCATTCAGCTTCTCTCTCTGCAGCTTACACTTCTGTCATATGACACTGGAGAACCCTGTGGCTGTATTGTTAGATGGTACTGCTCCCACCTCTCTGTCCCTTCCCTCTGCCAACAACTGTACGTCCAAACATCAGCTTCATGGGTTTGGGATAATGCACTAGACTAGATGAGGGGCAGCTGCTGTACACACCTCTGTTTTTACTGCAGGCTTACAAGGTCACTTGTAAGGTCTCTTCAGAGCTACGGAACAGAATATACAGAGAAACTCGCTAATCATTAAAATTCAAGTTCAATTACATCAAAAACCCAGATGTAGTAAAATTATCCACAAATAGTGGGTGTTAGAAACAAATAGTTTCCATTTTTCTTACCCTGTTATGAAGAAAAATCTGACCCTTCTGTCCAAAAGAATGATATTAGAGTGTAATATCAATTTTAGGGTCCTTAGTCAAGATCCTTGACCCATGAATTTTTCTGTTGAATAGTAATTAACCATTTTCTGTGATATTTAATGTAACTCTATTAGTGTTTCTGTCTTTTTTTTTTTTTTTTTTTTTTGAGGGGTATTGATTTTGTTTGTTTCTGTTTGTGTTTTCTTCAGTAATTTGTTTTTCCTTTCTCATTTTTAAAATCTTTCTAAAACTTATCCCCTAAATGCTTGGACTAAATAGTGAATTCCATTAACATATAATAAAACAGACACAAAAGCACATCAAATCAATTATTTTACCATTAAACTGGTGCAATGTTATGTCTTCACTGGATCTGAGATGAGAACTCAGCCTGCTATGCCCAGCTTCAGAGGTTTCAGTTATCCTTGTGTAAGGCTGGTGTGGCACAGGCAGCACAAGTGGTTTGTAGAGGCATGGGAATCTTCTATCTCAGACCCATTCACTGTTAAAGGCCAGCTTTGCAAGATGTCATACAGTTTCTCTACCTTTCTTTTTGCTACTTTCTGCTCTCATTCCTGTATCCTGGATACCCTGAAGGACCAGGAAAACTACGGCATTTGTAGAACAAGAAAATATAGAGAAATAAGAAAAGTCGTGAGAGAGCAAGCTCTCAACACTAGATAATGCATAAAGTTCCTTCAATTGTTCTTTGTTAACCTCCATGAAACTGATGATCCCAAACCATGCTGCAAGCACTTCGAGGCACTTTCCTCCTGTTCCAACTTCTTGAGCCTAACTGTATTAACCACCATTGTCTTCACCTACTCTTTTATTCAGCAAATCTTCCCTTTTCATCACTACACATACGCTCATTGGGTGTAAAAAGAAAAAAACCCAAACAGCTAAAACCATTTTACTTGAATACACTACTTCATTATAACATATAAATTATTCATGAGACTGATTAGCAAATATTGCCCAACCTAAACCAAAATATTTCCATGTCTCAATTGCAAACAGATTTTTGAAAGAAATGCTTTTGTTTTATGTTCTTAAAATAAATTCCCTATATCCTTTCCATCTTTGGTTATTGACTCAAACAATGAATCATTCACATAGAACAGCTTTTTCCTTGTGCTGAAGGCAAAAATTGCCCACGGCTTCTACATTTACTGTTTTCCCTAGTCATGTGCTAGTGATGTCTCAATCAAACATGTGTCTCAGTACTACAATCTATCAAAGACCTCCAGGAAAGTCTGACACCATCAGGTTTCTGTAAGATTCAAATCAGTGTATACTTCAAATACAGGCTTGGTTACCCAGGAATTGTTAGCTTCTCTGAAGAAGACAGGATCACAGTTTTGTGAGATGGGGATATAAAGTTCTAAATATGTTTTCATATGTGTTGATATGTTTGATCTTTCTGTGTCTAAGCTGGATCTTGTTTAATATATAAATACAGAAGATCTATACCATCACCCCTCCACAACATTTTCAGGGAGGTAGTGAGAGCAAATCTTAGCTTTTGTTCCACTATTTGATTTTACATTGGATTTATTTACACAGCTCAACTTTTCTCCCTCTTTGTTGTCACTATAGGAAGCAAAATGCAGTTTTTAGCATAAGACCATTATTGGTCTTGAACTTGGTGCTGCTGAAATAAAGGGCAGCTGATGATCCAAAAAAGCAACTATGACCAGTAGAAAATATGCTAGGGAAGCATATACCTTGCAAGTTCTCCCTTCCAACTAGTGAGCTTTGCATGAGGCTAATACTGCAGTAAGATTCTTAGTGGCAGTAGGAATGTATTAAAAAGGTCCTTTCTTTTATACTGGTGGTTTTCCACAGCTCAGAACTTAAATATTCAGGAAGTCTTGGTGCAGGCATTTCACATCAGGGTAATTATAAATCATAAATACTTTGGAAATACCCTGGAAAAAATTAGCCTACACAAAAATACAATGTAAAATTAATTTAAAGCCTTGAAGAACATTATGGAAATATCTTAATGGCCTTTACATAAAGATCCATCTGGAACTCTGTACTAGAGTAATTTGCTATTCAATACCTATTATGCTAGAGACACATTTAGCTTTACAAACCCACACATGGAACACAGACCATCAACCAGCTTCAGTCTTTGTTGACAGCTCTTTGTCTTCTAAGTTATTTTTTTTTCCATTTTTCCAGTACTAAAATAGCAACTTTATGGCCAATGCAGTAGCACTAGTGCCCTCTGCTGTACAGACTTAAAATGTAGTTTAAAATGCTAAGAATTTCCTTCCTGCACAGTGAGTTCCCAAGACACAGTACAATTATCAATTGTGTTTCCAAACATGACCTTAAGTCTGTCTGTGGCACTGTTCTAATTATCAAAGCATACATCATCCGTTATTTTAATACAGTAATGTATATTCTCTTTATGGCCTTGGAGACATCCCTAGACATATATGGAGAGTTGTTTGTTTTGTTTTCTACTTCCACAGGAAAAAAAAATCTTTTTTTGAAATCAGCATTTGATATGCATGTTCTCCTCTCTATAGCTTATCTGACACTTAGTTAGTCTTGATGTACTACACATTTTCCTCTGAGCAAAAAACATTGCCCTCTTAAGATCCAATGCAGAAGATGAAGCAAGGAATGACAGAGCTAGTCTACCTCTACAGATATGCACAGTGCAGCTTTCCTTAGAGGCAGCTTGAAGGATGCAGTAGTTATGCTATTGAAATCTAACTTTGCCAGAGATGTCTTCTTATGCGCATTGTAATAGTATCCCAAATTATTATTTTTTTAATTAGGTCTTGAGACTGATGTGCTTTGTTCTCCTTTTGTTATATTACCAGGAGAAAGTGAACTGTGCTTATTCTGATCACTGAAGGATTTTCCTGTAATGGTGGGCTTTGATTACAAAAAAAGAACTTCTACACCATTTCCAAAGATCTGCCTAATGAGGTGGCAAAGATATTTCCCCAAGCTCCAGTGACCCTTAGCTGGATCACTGGTAGTTTAGTTGTTGTTAGCAACTCATACTTAGCTTTCCATCTAGTCTGTGGGTCTATGAATAACTGTCTCAGCAGCAGAGCTGTGCAGTGCAAAGGCCATGGCTTTATCCCAGTATATGGTTTAAGATACAGTGGGATCTAGCACATTTCGGTTTGTACTGTATATCTGCCATGAAATCCTGAGATGTGCCATTGACTGTATAGACAAAATTAATCAGATATCAGGTATTTAAACTATATCAGTAAAATAAATCATCACAAGTACATCACAGTTAAGTCTCAACTGAAGCACAGTTAAAGCATCAAAAGTCTCCCTCAGCCCATGTCATAGAAAATTTCAGGATGAGGAGCATTCAAATCACTTTCGAGTTGACAAATATGTGGATGCATTCAGAAAATGCATCTTTGCTTCACTTTATATAGCACAGTTATGTATGCTGTACATCACACCTTTTTTTGAGAGAAAAACTCTTTGCAATGATATCTGCACATTTTTAGGAAAACAAGCCACTCTAGAGTTGCAAATTAAACTGCAGATTTCCAAACATGTGAGAGCAGTTAGGTGCGTCAAGCAACTAATTATGCTGGGACGCATAATCTTCTGGTAGTATCGGTACTAAAAAATTGAAAATACTTTCTGTATGGAATAGAGCATGGAGTACAGCAATAAAAATAAGTACAAATCCCAGGATGACCTTATGCAGAAGTGACTCTTTTGACTCTCTTTTCAGGAACTCTGAATGCTCTCAGGGCCTGAGACTGATCCCCTTTTGGCAGCAATGCCAGCAGAGGAAGCCAAAGGAATTTCAGCGTAGATACAAACAGACAAGCACACAACATGCTTTAGCTTCACAAAATACTGAAACACATGAGGGTTAACCCTCATCCCAGAACAGGGACTGAACTGTGGGCAGGCAGCTCCACTGGGGTCAGAAATCCTCTACCAACATCTGCTCAGCAAATGGTCCTGCAGCCTCACATGTGTGTCCCCAGATGGCTGTAAAGGGTTGCGCTGATGGAACCACATTGCTAGGGATTCACTCACCATACCCTTCTGCCTACCTCACCTCCCCCACTTTCTGTCCTGAAATACCTTTCCACCTGGCTGAACCCCCAAGGACTAGAGTTTTCAGCTCAAGAGCAGTACAAGCACTTTGCATGCTGTTCCCTGCCCCTATTCAGTACAATGACACCATTCTCTTTCTCCACTGAATGCCTTTGCCACTAACAAAGGAACACATACTATGTTCTTAACAAAACATTGTAGTAATCATCATGCAATATCAGTGAACTGGTTAACAGTAGATCTCATCTCTTCCTAATCTTACTTTTCATTTTCCTCATGGACTGACTCCTGTCTGAAGTGTATGGGTTTTTTTTTTAAACAGATTGTTTTACAATGAAACCCCATGACTGCAACTATATGGCTCTGTATCTTTTCCTCCATTCTTAAAAATTAGTTTTCCCTTTTCAGTGCTATAGGATTTTAAAACTCTCAACAGTAAAGGGGGGCATTGCAATAATGTCTAAAACCTGCGACATTTTAAAGTCCAGCAGTTTTTATCTATTTGGTTTTTATTTTATTTTTAGTTAAATACAGTTGAGGCCAAAGAGGGTTAGATAGACAGCCCTGCAATGCAAACTGATTACTCATGAGACCAGACAAATCAAAACACTCCCAGTGCATATTATTCTCTTTGCATGTTTCACTGTTTTGCTCTGGGACATAGTTGGGATTTTCTGTGGCCTGTTCAAGCACGTAAGTGTAGGAGGCAAAGTGGGTATTGCTGTACCCCAGATACTTCCCAGTTCTCTTCTGCAAGCCTTTCAAGACCCAGCTGAATCACTAAGACACTGACGTGAAAGACCTAAATGTGATTGGACACATTCAATCCTCCTAAATCACCACTGATTTCAAGAGAGTTCAGTCAAGGATGAGTTTGACCCAATCTGCCTTTTTCTTCTTTTCTTTCATTTTGTTATACAGAAAACAGCTTTATTTCACAAGTCTCATTTTCCAGCATGATTTCATGTTTCCCCTCTCATGTCTTCCTAGCTTTAAAATTTTCTCTTTAACTTCAGGTAATAGAAATTAACATGAAATAAACATTTTAAAAATGAGAATTTGAGTGTACATTGGTCCAGGCAAAAATATTTGCATTTTAGCTGGAAATTAGGATAACTTACAGTGTTTGAATCTGTATCAGTCTGGTGTTTCCCTCTATTTATAAATGTTATTTTACTCTTAAGCATAATTTGCAGTTTGTATCCCCAGTACAACTCATAATATTTGCTACTTTCATAGGAAAACCATAGAAAACATCAGATGATATGTAATGAATATTTCTTTAGGACAGATTTAGTTTTAATAAGAGGAGTTATTTGACTTCTTTATTGTTCTTTCCATGGGTGTCACTCAAAGGGCAAAGAGGACAAAACAGACCTAACTTATCTGTTCAGACTACTCACAGTGAGTGTGAATAGGAGAAATCTATGAACTATTCATGATGGACTAACTTAAATTCTTTCATAAAAGCCACAACAATATAACTTGGTACTAGTGCACCTAGAAACGTTCTAGAATTTTAATTGGAATTAACTTTTAAGTGGGTTAATTATATTACATTAAATCTTTGCGTGGACATTCGTATTTCGAATTTAATTTAAGCTAAATTGAATCAAAGCCACTGTAATTTCAATTAAGAGTGTTCATAAAAGGATGTAATGTAGTTTAGCTAGTCCCTTTTCAAAGTTAATTTGGGTTCATTTTCTCAAGACCCCATGTAGACATTAGAAACTTTTGTTCTATATTGACTTGGGCTTGATTCAAACCAATTACATAAAGGTAAAAAGGTTTTCTACCTCATCATTGATCCCTTGGGTTACTCAAGTTCCATTTTGCTTCACTAATTCAGTTGATAAAACAGCTTCTCAGAAGTTTTGTTATTTTTTTCATCTTATATATTTTTCTGGAGAGATATTTATGTAGGGGGTATTTATGTATTTAACAGATATCTGGACAGTAGGAATTTTACAACAGCCTTATAAGAAAATTCTCTTAGTTACAGATGCCTGCCACTACATCTTATGTGCCAACCATGATATAAGGGGAAGTCATACAAGAACCTTCAGGATTTCTCTGTCTTATGCCAGAAACACTTCAGTGAGCAACAATTAAACTGCATTATTTTTATAACTATGCTTACTTAATTATTTTTTTCATTTATTATCAAAGTAAAATCACAGATCCACATTAGGAAGGCATCTATGAACCACAACAAAATTAGTATAAAATCAACCCTTAATAAAAAGTTGTATGCTGTTCTAAAGCACTGCTCCAAAACAGCGAAATTTTCAGTCCTGTCACACTGGGGTTATTTTTTGAAACACTATACTATTCCTCTGTTTTTAGTAGACTAGCAGTGATTTAACAACATCTACTTAAACATAACACAGTGATACTTTAATTCAAACAAATTAGTTTTGGTCTGGTAGAATATTTCAATTTTTATACATGGAAAAATTAAATGGTATAAATTAACATACTTTTCAACAACATACTGCAGCATTTTAAAGTGGTAGGCAAAAATCTGCAATTTAAGTATATGAAACATTAAAATGTGTGTCTTTTAAAAGATGGAAAGGCAAAAATGGAATCCAAGACCTTAGCCCTCTTTCCTTCCAGAATTTTCTTCCTACTCACAAACTATAAAAACAGATGTGGGAAATGTCAGGTCAGAACACCACAGTCTGAGAATATACAAATGTAGCCAGTACAATGAAGAGAAACAACAACAACAAAAAAAGGCAATTAGAGTAAGAAAATAGGCATTAAGAAAGTTGGAATCTAGTTTTTAAATCTCAAATCATTTTCTAAATTACAATATTTGTTTGTCTACTGAATGTGGTTGTTACCCATACCCATCATGATTTGAGGCTTCCTGAGATCTTGACCTCAGTAGATAACATAAACTAGAAGACAGAAATATTTTAGTTTGATGAGCATTTAATACAGTTGGTGATCAGTAGCAGTTTTCTCTACCTTTCTACACTTTGGCAACACAGATGCTCTGGTAAAATCTGAAGTAATTTTAAAACATTTGAAGATTATTTTGATATTAGCAAATCAGAGAACTGTCTATTTCAGAGGCATAAAAAAATCAAGTTTGTGCCTTACCAAGTGCAGTTTTTCCAAATGCATTTTGTAATATGCAAAACAGAGGAGATTAAAGGAAATTGTATTAAAGCAGCCATGTAAAATCTGCATCAATGTTTTTTGGGATATGCATTAAAATAGGTATCTGTCTAAATACTTCTATGGCATGATGTTGTGTCAAGAAAGGTTTCCTGTTTTCCTTTTTTAAGATCTGAATTATCTGATACTGAGTTGGAAAAGTGTTTGGTAGCTATTTCATAGCCATGGTAACTATAGTCTGTATTGTTAGTATGTATTATTTCAAAATACCTTCTGGGAGAAACATATCCAGCTAATAACACACTAAAGCACCAGAGTCCATTTTGCATCACTGCATTTGTAGTGGCTAACTGAGTCCAAATTACTCCCTCATTCTGCTAATAAATAAAGCAACAAAGAGAAAAAGAGACATGAGTTAAAAAGTTAAGGCTGCAAATAGCCTCGAGTCTGGTAAATGATGGTTAAACTTCTTGTCCTTGGTAGCTATGGAAACCCCTTAAGGTAAGAGTGGAACACAGGCCCTTTGTGGTCTGCAATTTACAAGCTGTTTATTTAATTATGAAGGAATATGAAACTGTTAGGGGCAATGCAATTATCCTACTGTGATAGTGTTTTGAGAGAAAAATAGGTATAGAGAAATATAATAACTTAATTTTTTGGAAAATTACTTGTTTAGGACTTCTATGAAACTGCAATACATTGTTTTTTACTGAAATCTGTGATTATTTTTTTTTCCCCAAAGGGTGTAAGGAGCCAAAATTAGTAATATGACATTTTTCCATAATATCCCTCAGTAGATTCATAGTAATTATGTCCATTCTATGCTTCATGAACAAAACCAAGGTCAGGGTGTATTTCAATTAAACCCTAGGTGTTACCAAAGTGCAATACAGCCAGAATAGCATGCACATTATTACCAGATCTATCACTGCTGGGCAATGAATTGGTCACAGGTGCTCTTGCATACAGTGTTTGTACATCTTTAAATATTACTAGTGGGAGAATGTTTCAATTCAATTTAGGAGGCAGCTAGTGAACTAAAATTAAGAGTGAAACTATGTGATGACTCAGGGGAACTATAACATCTACTTACAAGTATTTTCCTGGATCTGAACAACAAACTTTGACCTGATAGTTCTGTTGTTTGGATGTGCATGAACGTAGTGGCCTCAGGGCCCTTTGCATACAATGAGAGTTTTTGGCAACAATCCATCCTTCATTGGACTGCCTTAATAAGATGTGAGGTATAAACACATCCTCACAGGTCCTCCGTAAAAGAGACAGGTAATATTCTTGTTTATGGCTGAAGAAACTGAGGCAATAATGGGTTAAATCAATTGCCAAAACTTAGCATGTCTCTATGTGACACTTTGCAAACATGAGCTTCCCACTCAATGCTGACTAAATGCAATGTGTGTTGCTCCAAATGATAGCCATATAGCAAACATAAGCTTGTTACTGACCTCAGGAAAATGTGTCTTAGTGCACTGTTCCAGCCTGGCCCTAAGAGCACAAAGACTGAGTCTGCTTCTATACAAAGCATGGATGAATCTTGCTCCAGCAAACTACAAGAGTCCAAGTGGATGTGCTATAATGAACAGTGTCATTAGCAGAGGCAGAATAGAGGCCCAGACATATGAAACCACACTTCCAGCA